TGGGGACCCCTGAGTTTGGGGCGCTTTATTTCTTGTGATGGATTGATTGATTTTAATATTTTTAAATTATCTTTGTTTATTTTTTAACTTTTATTGGAGTACGGTTAATTTACAATGTTGTGTTAGTTTCAGGGGTCCAGCAGAGTGGATCAGTTACACACGTGCATGTATCCACTCTTGTTTAGATTCTTTTCCTATCTGGGTCATTACAGAGTATTGAGCAGAGTTCCCCGTGCTCCACAGCAGGTCCTTATTAGTTACCTGTTTTATATACAGTAGTGTGCACGTGTCAATCCCAGTCTCCCAGTTTATTGTTCCCCTCCTTTCCCCCTGGTAACTATAAGTTTGTTTTCTACCTCTGTGGCTGTATTTCTGTTCTGTAAATAAGTTCATCTGTACCATTTTTACTTTTAATCTTGTGGCTTATTTAGTTCACTGTTATTAAATTGTCTGCTCATCAGATCCAGTCAGCGACGCGTCACCACTGTGCTGCATGGGAGTGATGCTCTGTGCGGCACGCGATGGTCTGCGTGTCTGGACTCAGCAGCAGAAGCAGGGTCGGTGTAGCCCTGAGGCCCCATCGGGAGGAGTACGGTGGGCTTCTGCTGCGGGGAGGGAGGGGTGGGGGGAGGAAACACTGAGCGACAGGGGCGTCTACCGCCGAGGAGGGGCAGGAAGGCGCGCAGCTGCCAGGGGGCAGCCCCTCCCTGAGAGCGTGACCCCACGGGGCCAGGTGAAGCCATTGGGGCCCGGGGGTGATCACAGCAACGACAGAACCCAGCCAGCTCAGCCTGTGGCTCGGCCCCTCTCTGACGGCCTGGAGGAGAAAAGCTGGCCAATCCCAGGCATAAAATCTTGGCATGTCAGTGTCTGCTGTCCCACACAGGTCTGGCGTTCGGTAAAAAAAAAAAAAAAAAAAAAAAAAAAAAAAAAAAAAAAAAAAAAAAAAAAAAAACAAAAGCCACACAAAACAGCAAGTAGAAACACTCACTGCCAAGAGACAAAGCAATCGAACCGGACTCAGAGGTGATCTGAATGTCGGAACTGCCAGGCGGAGGTTCTGGGTAACTAGGGTTAAATGTGTTGACGGCTCTCAGGGAAAGTGTGTGGAACAGACGGGGGCCTTCAGCGGGATGGGGGTTGTGTGAGGAGGGGCCACGTGGATGGAGGTGCTGGGAGCCAAGATCGTGGTGACAGGAAGGATGTCCCTGACAGGCCCGTCAGCGACCTCACAGCTGAGGGAAGAGGCATTGGGGCCACCCAAACTGGAACTAAGAGAAGAATGGAGGGGAAAAGAATAGGGCACCTGGGATGTGGGGCAGTACCACACGGTTGGAAGGGATAATGGTCAGTAATTTTATCATGAAAAACATCAAGCTACAGGTCCCAACGTTTCAGAGAACCCCAGCCTGGATAAATAACAAAACAGACCTACCCACCACAGGAAGCTCCGGGACACATCACATTCAAACCTTTAAAAAGTAAGATAAAGAGAAAAATTTGAAGGCACATGTTGCAAAGAAACAAAGGTAGGAATCACAGCAGCTGTCTTGTCAGAAATTGTGGGAGCCAGAGAGAGTAGGGCGATGTCTCTGCGATGCTGGAAAGAAAAAAATGGCATCCCGGCGTCTTCCCAGAAAAATCGCTCAGAAATGGAAAGACTTTGGAAGCAAACAATTCATCATCTGCAGACTCGTACAAGAGGTGCTGAAAGGAAGCTCTTCAGACAGAGGAAGTGAGAGATACCAGACAGACCTAGGTCCACACCCAGAAAATGAGGATTGTTAGACGTGAAGGTAGATCTACAAAGCATTGTTTTTGTTATTTTTAATCATTCTGTACGCTACTGAGTTTCTAAAGCAAAAACAGTAGCGACGGATCGTGGGCTTCCAGGACAGCAGCACCGAAGATGGGGCGGGAGTGAGGTGATGCTGTTCGCAGACAGCTCTTCAGAAAACCGTAGAGAGACACAACGAGGCCAGTGTCTAGAGAAACAGTAGATTGTAGTTGCCAGGGGGTGGGAAAGGGGGAGATGCTGGCCAAAGGGCACAGACTCCCAGGGGTGAGACTGACACGTCCTGATACTGTGTCCTGTGCCTGAGAGTTGCAGAGAGAGTAGATCTTACCCGTTCTCACCACACGGGTGATTGTGGGCTGGAGTGGAGGGGTTCCTGATGCCACGTGGGGAGCGTATTACAATGTACAAATGCATCACCTGGCAACTCACACAAAGTTACGTGTCATTTATGTCTCAGTAGAGCTGGAGGTAAAGGCCTGAGTTGCGGTGCAGCAGGGTGAGGAGGGCGAGCTGTGGTGCCTGGTCTGAGCCGCGTCGGCAGAGCCCAGTCCGACCCACCGCCTCCCCTGGCTCTGGCTGCCTGGGTACAAGCACGGCAGGGCTGGGTGAGCGCTGAGTAGTCGCCAAGAGTCTCTGCCGTCTGGTCCTTTTCAGAGGAGCTTGCTGAGCCCTGGGCAGGGTGCACAGGGCGGATTCGGGGCTGGCGTCGCGGGAGCTGGGCTCGGGGCTGTGGCAGGTGGCGGGAATCAGAGAGTATTTTGGAAGTAGGACCAGCAGAACACAGAACGTGGATAAAATTGATGGTATTTAGCATTTCAGATTTTCTTTGCAGCAGAGGATCCTGGTCTTTTTAAAAAAAAACACACAAAATCTGCCATGTCAGCTTACAGTAAAGACCAATTGAAAAACTGACAAAAAAAAACCCAAAACAGGTTATTTTTGTGGAAAGCCGTAGTCAGGCACACATTTCTCTGTGTTTTCGGCAGCCTTCACTACCCCCACGGTCCAGAAGCATCCCCCAGGGCCCCTTGGGCTCAGATGAGCAGAATTTGAAAACAGCTGGAGGAGTCTGCACACGTTTTGGATGAGGCTTTGCATCCCAAGTGCGTCCGTGCAGCTCAGAGATGTGCTGGGACTTTGCCAGCATCTGGCAGGCAGCTACACCAGGTACAGGGTCCGTGCTGCCAAGAGATGCTGCCGTGGGCTTGGTGACCGGTGGACACTGCACCAAGATGTCCCTGTTGCCACCTTGGGCCCACTGAATACCGGGTCAGACTCTTGTTTTGGGCGGGTGCTAGTGAGAAGCTAACTTGGCTTCAGACAGCGTTGAAGCGAGACTGGACTTGGGAGGACCTGTGTTCTGGGCTGAATGTGTGCCCCCAGATTCATGGGTTGAGGTCCTAACCCCGAGAACCTTTAAGCATGACCCTATCTGGAGATTTACAGACGTGATCGAGTGAAAATGAGCTCATAAGGGTGACCAGTGTCCTTAGAAAAAGGGAAGATTTGGACAGACGTACTCGCATCAAGGGAAGACGGCCGTCTGCAGCCCTGGGGGCGAGGCTGGGGCAGTTCTCCTGTCACGGCCGCAGCAGGACCAGCCCTGCGACACCTAGATGGGCTCCGGCCTCCAGACGGGGGACAGGAGGTTCCAGTGTTGAAGCCGCACAGCGTGTGGGGCTTTGTCCAGCAGCCTGGGAAGGTGACAGAGCCCGTTAGCCAGTGGATGAGGGAAGGATGGAGCCTCAGGCTTCTTGTCTACACCTCCCAGAGTGTGTTATGTGAACCTTTGGTGCACGTAGGTACGCAAGGTGGTTTGCGGACGAATGATTTGCATAATCTTGTGTTTATCTGTGTAGCTGCTGCTTTTACAGCAGTTATGTATTTTCGGGTTTAAATGCTCCTAACGTATACGTTTCACTGCAAATACAGGTATAAAATATATGTAGTATCAAAAATTTGTGAATGCGGGACATCCCTGGCGGTCCAGTGGCCAAGACTGCGCTTCCATTGCAGGGGGTGCGGGTTCAATCCCTGGTCAGGGAGCTAATATCCCACAAGCCGCATGGTGTAGCCAAGAAAACAAATTGTGAATGCTCAGATACAGTGTTATCGGTCAGAATCCGAAAAATTTAGCGTGTAGGTGTGGAAGAAAAGGTAGGTTGATGTAAAGAAAAATACTAAACAGTAGCAGGTTGGCGTCCAAATGAGAGCACTTCTGAGGTGATGCAGGGACGTGGTCCTGGGCTTTGAGAGCAGCTTGACGCCTGGGCTCAGCCCGCCTGCCCTCTGTCCGCCCCGCGCCCCGTGACACACGTGGGAGCAGCATATGCGTGCACACACGTGACTATACACGCGCACACACAGACACATTGCTTCACGCCTTCCTGAGGAGACACGGGAGGAAATTGGTTTTCTGAGATCAACGCAGGTGGGCCCAGCCCTAGGCCCCCACCATCAGCTGGCTGCTTTCTCCTCTTAGGTGACAGGGGACAGCAGAGCCTGCTTCTCGGTCCACACACTCGCTCAGATCCTTGGAAACCAGGCCTGGAGCCCAGGGGCAGCGGGAGAGGTGGGATGGGGCAGTCACCACGGGGAGACACGACCCAAACCAGCCAGTGAGGAGTGGGCAGTGTGGGAGGTTTTATTTCTGCAAAGGGTCCCCGGGGCTGGGTCCAGCAGGTGTGGGTGCTTTTACTGCAGGTGCGTTTAGGTGCTGGTGACCTACAGTGGAGACCTGGGGTCAATACGGTGGCCCTGGCCCTTCTGCCAGCTGTTCCTCCACTCCCTTCCCCCTTCCCCGTCCTTTCCCCTAGCTTTCTTCCTCTCTCCCCAGTCTCCCCCACCGTCATTTCTCTCTCCCATCACCATTCCCCCCCAGCCCCCTCAGGTTCATGTGGCCAGGCCTCCTTCTTGGGCGGGCGTGCACACGACCTCAATGCTGCAGAGGCCACCGTTCGGGGCCCGCACGCAGGGCTGTCCGGCTGCGCTCTGGCCGTGGCGCGCCCACCTCCCGGCACGCTCGGGCGCCCTGCACTCCGCGAAGCAGAAGCTGCACGTCTCCGTCGGCTCGGGCGTTGCCCCTGCAGCGCTGCCCGCTTCCATCCAGTGATCTGCTGAGGGGGAGAGGGCGTTGGCCTCGGCCTGGACCCCTCCTCCCCCGCCCTGCACCCCCAGGGGACCAGCTCCGGTTTTAGCCGCCCTGTCCTGGCAAGTGGGGCAAGCCCCGGGGCCCAACAGCCACCCTTCCTCAGGGCCCTGTCTCTTCTTGCCTTGATGTTTGACCCGGTTTCACCAGGACAGGTAGGAAACTGTAGGAACTGGCACCAGGCTGCTCCCCGGGAGAACCGGCAACCGCCCTCCACTTAGAAGCGGGGGCAGAGCCAGGACAGAGGGATGTCCAGGACCCCACTGCGTGCTCACCCTTGGAGGACTTGGCCTGCATCCGACATGGCCCGGGGGGTGGCTGGCAGGAGACCTGGGCCCCCCTCCTCTTCAGGAAGCAGGCCACGGCCAGCAGGAAGCAGCAGATGATGGCGCAGAGGCAGAGCCCCAGCGTGCTGTAGACCAGGGCCAGCTGGTCGGCACTCAGCTTTAGCCCTGGGGGGGCTGCAAGACAGCGGGGGACCCAGAGTTAGGAGGGGCACCTCCCTGAAGCACCCCCCCTCCGGCCAGCAGCCCCTCGTCCTGCTCACTTGCTTCCTTCTCATGAGCCCCAGACAAGCCACGCGGTCACCCCCACGCCCCCTCGGAGGGCCGGGGGACCCCGGAGCCGGACGCCCTTTGTCGTTCTCTCTCGCTGTGGGGTGTAGCTTGGGACAGTACCAGAGGTGGATGGGCGAGCAGGTGGACAGTTGTCCAGGGAGGGTGTTTGTCTGACCAGGGAGCGCATGCTTGGAGAGAGACGGTGGTGTTGCTACTGAGCCTGAGGGGCAGGTGTACACCAGGGGGGCTGGGGAAATGGGGCGCGGGCCTTGAGCCAAAGCCCTGCCCTCAAAATCCGTCGCGGGCCCTGGGATCGGGCGCCCCCAGCCCAGGAGGAAGGGCTGCTGGCCGCCTGCTGGTTTTGCTGCACGCAACACTTTCTCTGGTGTGTCCCTGACCCTCGCGCTTCTGTGAAGGAGGGGCGCTCGCCCCCTTTAGAGGTTGAGGTGTAGTCCACGTGCTGCCAGGCTCACGGCCGTGAAGATGAGTGGGGGTGGTTAGTGTGCTCTCAGGCTTGTGCAGCTGCTGCCTGTGCACCTGGGGTGTGTCCAGCACCGCATGACGCCCCCCATCCGCCCTGGGCCCCGGGCACCACCACGCTGTCTCTGTCACCTGTTCTGGACACTTCATACCAATGGAATTGTGCAGCACGGGACCTTCACGTCCGGCCTCTCGGTGTGTTTCCAAGGCTCAGGCGTGTGGCCACATGTGTTGGGTCTGAGTAACGTTCCACTGTGTGGATGCACCACATCGTGCTTGTTTGTCCACGATGAGCATTTCGGTTGTTTCCACCCTTTGGCGGCTGTGAAGGCTTGTGTGCAGGTTTCCGTGTGCACGTGTGTGTGCAGCTCTCGTGGACGCGTCCCACTAGTGTAGTTGCCGGGTCAGGTGGCGCCTCTCTGCTGAGCTGTTTGAGGATCCTGCAGGCTGTTCCCGCTGTGGCCACACCACCTTACAGTCTGTTTTTCAGATGACAAAACTGAGCCTCAGATCTGGTCACAATTGCAGAGCCGCACCTGGGGGCAGGTCTGATGGGCTCCGTGCCGGGTCTCCAGGCCGGCCGCGCACAGATGGCGAGGTGGACACTGTCTCTCTTCCTTATGCACGCTCCTTAGAGGTAGAATTTTATGAAGTGACAGCTGGCTGGTGCCACCCTGACGTTCACAGAGCTCTGGGTGGGCTGTTGGCGCCACCCCCAGCCGGCGACGTCCGTGTGTCCCAGCTCCCGGGCCCCCATCTGTTCACTGGCTCCTGTGCGTCCCTGGGATAAAATAAAGCCGTCGGCCTGGCCGGATTAGTGGGGGAGAGGCTGGCAGCCTTCACATGGGAGGTGGAATTCCTAGCTACCAGACACTGCTAAGTACACAGTGAACTGCTGGGTGGATATTTCTGCATATTTCAGGTGGTTTCAGCTGAACTCTAACACACAAACTATCTCGAGGCTGGCTGCTGGCATTCGGAGATGGTCCTCGATTCCTGCCCTTCAGTCGGGCTGGGCCGGGCCCCCCTGCACCCAGCAGTACGCAGTACAGGGGACGCAGGGCCTGGCCTGTGCCATGACGAGGCCTGGCAGCCTCTGCTCTGCTCTCCCGGGCGCCCTGAGCCACCACGTGAGGAGGGTGATTTGGGGCTTCCTGAGGGAAAGGGAACCAGTTCCTGCCTGGTGACCCGCTCCTGTGCTTCGCAAAGGCCCTGGATCCGGAGGAGAGGTGCGGTTAAAACTGCGAAAGATGTCACCTCTGTCACCAACAGATGCTTCCTCTGTTCAGTCGCCAGCTGTTCAGGTCTGCAAACTCGGTCGCTGCCTTCTGTCGGCCCTCAGTGACCTGGCCCCGGAGTGGAGCGGCCTCGCTCGGTGCCTCCCTGTCTGCTGACCCCGGTGGGTGCAGGGGCTTCAGTCTGGAAAGGATGTGAGTTCTGTCCTTGGCCAGAGAGCCAGGCCTGCGGCGCAGTTCTGAGCACCGCCACCAGGGGGCACCGCGGATGGTTTATTTCCAAGTGGGTTTTCCATTAGATTTGTTCCGTGCTTGTACTGTTTTCAGAGTCAGTCTCGCCTAGAAACAGGATTTCCCCGACTGCTGCTGCTGGGCTGGAGCTCGGGCTGGCCGTGCGGGCAGTGCTGTGACCTGTCCTGAGGGGCCTTGGTGTAGCCGGGGCAGGGCAGGTTTTGAGCCTGGGCCCTGTGGCCACCCCTGCTCACAGTCAGGCCTGCCTCCTGGTGAAATGGGGCGGACGCTCCGGCCTCCGCGCTGTTGGTAGCAGCTCGACCCAGTGGAGCGTTCCGCCAGCATCCCCGTGGCCCCAGCCCAGCGAGCAGGCAGGTCAGGGGAGCGGTGGTGAGGTGGGCTCCCGAGGCTTTCTGCCCCCCTCCCCTGGCCTCAGCCCTGGGGATGAAGAGGGGGCCTGGGGCAGCCGCCACAGTAACATCTCTTGCAGCCGTCGGGGGCGGATGGGGGCGGGCGTGTGTGGGGAGAAAACGCTCCACACCCTGAGATAAAAAGCCAGAGACAAGACCAACCCCCAGGCCTCCATGCAGGATGTGCTCCCAAGGCGGGCATCGCCCTCCCACAGGGGGTCTGGTGCTGCACGTGGGACCTTATGACCTGATTTGGGAAAAAGGCCTTTGCAGATGTAATGAAGGTAAGGATTTGGAGCGTCAAGGCCCAGGGTCGCTGGGGCCCCGCGAGAGCTCCGTGAGGGGGGTGCCGGGCTGACTGTCCCCGGTGGGGACAGGGGGATACAGAGTCTGGAGACGTCCCAGGTCACCCGTGCTCACGCCACCCGGAGCTCTGAACCCGGGACCCAGGAGGCCCTTGAGTAGGGCCTGGGGGCTCCGTGGGCTTGGATAAGAAAAGCAAACCTTAATTTTCACTAAAGCTTAGCCTTCGCTCCCACTGTTTGTAGCAGTCGCAGCCCCAGTGGTACTAGCAGTGGCTGTACCCTGTCCACAGAGAATCCGTGTGTTTCCGCTCCCAGCCCCTCCCAGCACCTGCACATGCTGTGCCCTCTGCCTGGAACACCTTTCTCCACCTCGTCTCTTAGATGTGTGCTTTCCTTTTAAATGAGCAGTTACTACGTGCTGATCCTGACACGCAGCGCAGCAACCCCATGAAGGCAGATGATCTCAGTCTTACGGAAACACTTAACCCCAGAGAGGTTAAGTGACTTGCTCAAGGTCACACAGTTGGTGGGAGATGGAACCAGGGGTCTGGCCCCCCACTCTGCCTTGAAGGCCTCTCGGGGGAACCTTCCTCGCCACATCGCACCCTGGCTGGGGGATGTCATCGCCACGCACTGAGGTTACTCAGTCATCTGTCTTGTCTCTCGCATCAGACTGTGACTTCCGTGGGGTCAGCGACAGGGTCTGCCTAACTCTTGCACCCGCTCCCCAGGCACAGCTGAGCCCTCCACAGTTACCGTCAAATGAAGGAGTGGCCATTCCGAGAGACGTGGAGGGGCCAAGGGTGGGGGCTGGCAGGGCGGGGAGTGAGTGGGGGGGACAGGTCAGCCCCGCTGCCACGGGCAGTGTCCTGCACGCCCTGCCCTTAACACCCAGGGTGTGGGCCCGGCACTTCCTGTTCACAGTACCCACCAAACCCAGCTCTCGCCCCACCTGCATGCCCAGGTATCAGAACACAGCGGGACACACGTAAGCCCTAGACCTCCAGAGGGACACGGGGCAGGGGCAGGTACGGCGAGCCCCCGAGGCTCAGGAGGCCACACCATGGAATGACTGGGACAGCAGTCAGGTCTGACGTCACGCTGACCCCACTGGCTCCTGGAATGTCTGTCCACACTTCCTGGGGAATTCGTACCTGGAGGGTCCACCCCAGACCCTCTGGGGAGGGAGCTTGGCTGGTGGTCACAGACAGGAAGGGCTAACGGTGTCACACTGGCAAGAGGTCCCCCTAAGTGGGCGACGGTGCCACAGAACACTGCTCTGGGGTTTGGCTTTTGCAGAGCGGACAAACTTTGGAACCCGCAGGCCGGGCCCGAGTCCCCGCCCAGCTGTGCACTGACTCTCCAGGTTTTGAGATTCAGTTTCTCTGTAAAGGGGAATCTGTGGCATCGGATGGGGTGGATGGGGTTCTGGGTTTGGCTGGAAGAGTCAAATACGTCACTGCAGGGAAGGCGTGGGGGTCACCAGACCTTGGAGAGCAGCCCCCTTTGTGGTTCCGTTCGTCACCCCCTCCCCCCGTATCCACGCCCTCTGTGTGTGAATCTGCATTTCCTCTCACAAGAGGCTGTGCTGGATAAAAACCGGCCACAAACCTCCCACAGCTAGAAATCCTTCGCCTCTCCTCCAGCTGAGAGTGGGGTCTGTCTCCCCCGCCTTGAATCTGGCTGGCTTTGCATCTGGAGAGATAGGATGCAGCAGATGATGGGTGCCAGCTCTTGGCCGAGAGGTTCAGAGGCCCGTGTGTCACCTCTGATGCTGCTGCCCACCCGCTGGTCCCAGGGGAGGATGAGAGACTCAGGAGCAGAGCCCCTCCAGCTGACTCCAGCCAAGCCCTATGCCATGAGGAATAACACACCATGGAATCTGGGGGCTGTTTGTTACGTGGCAGCAGCTTACTGACAGGAGAGCAGAGCAGAGTAAGAGACGACAGTCTAACCGAGAAGAACCAGGCTGGGCACTTCGTTATCAGGACACATGAAGCCTGTTCTCATGGAAGTGACGTCATGAGGAAAGTCACAGAAAACGAGGAAAACAAGCCAGCGCCTGGCAGACCAAGAGCACCATAAATATCAAGTGTTTGCGGGTCCACATCCCCACCCAAGCCCCGTCCTCTCTGACACCACAGAGCAGAGTAGCTGAGTCAAGAGGTGCTTTCTGGGAAGATTAATTAGGTCATTTCCAGTGCTCGGCACTTAGTAAGTGCCTAGTTCAAGGGACCCCTCTCACATACTTAAGGAGGCCCGTCTCCACCGTGAGCTTTTTTGACAGTACTTTTCCTTCTCATTCTTGGGAAGTCTCCAGTGCCTCTAAGTGGAGGGGTCTTGCTCACAGGTTAGCTGTGCTGTCCACTCACTGCCCTGTGTTCTGAGAATTCACTCAGCCACCATTATGAGACTCCCAACTGTCAGGTCTTTTTTCTTCTTTCGCTTCCTTCTTGCCCACAGACTTCTGTAAACTTTGCTTAATTTTTTTTTTTCTATCCTGTGATGATCCCCCCACCCCCCTGGTTTCTGGCCATTTGCCTGCACTGGACTTCCTGCTTTGCAGCCTCTCCTTATTGAGGCCTGGTGCCTGCCTTCCACCCACTCTGACCCTTGGACACCGCGCAGGCCAACCTTAGGTGGCTTACCTGGACCCACATCCGAGCCTCTGTGCTCTGATCCCTGGTACCTCCCTAGGTTGTCTGCCCGGGTCAAGGCCTCTCCGGTCCGCTGTCTCCTGACCTCTGGTGGGAGGTTCCCTTGACTCCCGAACTTGTTCTCACAGAAGTGTGTGCATTGCTTGGGGTGACGTCCACAGATGGAGGCACAGCTGATACAGTCCCCCAGGAGCTGGTCATAGTACCTGCCTTGCTCTTTGCGGCAGCTGAGTGACTCTGGGAGACAGAGATGCGTGATGCTGCTGGGTGACAGACACAGGCAGAAACTGGGGGTCTGGCCTCAAAGGGTATCAAAGTTAAAAAGAAATCCTAGTCCAGTTCCCCAAAAGCAATTCCAGAGTAATCCAAGTCCTCTTCCAGTATGCAAATGTAAGACTATACGTTGTCCTCTAAGTACTGTTTTAGCTGCATCACACACGTTTTGACATGTAGTATTTTTTCTGTATGTAGTTTAGAATGTTCTTATTTTTCACTATTATTTCTTCTTTGACCTATATATTATTTAAAAGAGCATTTCTTAGTACTAACTGTATAAGGGTTTTCTAGTTATCTTTTAAGTTATTGCATTGTCACATAACTTCTTTACTTGGGTTTTTCAAACCTCATAAGGGAGAAACATATTTCATATAAACATAAGGAATGGAGAACAAAGCCAGAATCTGCCTTAGCAAGTTGGGGAAGGGGACTGGAAGGAAGGTGAGAGAGCTCAGATTAATAGTGTTTTTTTCTGTCTTAATAATAAATGAGAATTTCAGGAGCTTCACCAGGCATCAGTGCCAGGGGGCAGAAGCCAAGCAAACTGAAGCCTATTCACACTTGCTGGAGAGAGCAGTTTTGAGTGCCGTACAGAAACCTGAACTTTCACAGGGCAGGTTTCCCTTGTCTCTGAGATTCATTCATAGGAAAATGTGACTCGCATGCCGGTTTTCAGGGCGCATTTTGGAGGCAAGAACCCAGAGCTTGAAGCCACGCGGGCTTGGGGAAGCTCCGGTCTGCCACTTCACGTGGTGGGCTCGGCCCCTCCGTACCTCAGTCTCCTGTTTTCCAGGAGAGGAATAATTATGCCAATGGTGACTTCTTACGGTTGTTACGGGGATTTGAAGTCCCCAGCACAGTGCCTGACACATAATGAATGATGCTCAAGGTTTAAATAGAATATTCACTTGTGCCTCTTTGCGATGCAAACACGCCAACGCGTACATCCTTTTCAGAGTAGAAGACAAAACCAGGAAGGCCTGCATTTGGGACCTCAGGGGAGACTCGGGTGATCCTGTCAGGACCAGTGACCACCCCTTGCCCTTACCCTGCTGTGGCCCCTGGACCCTCCTGACCCCGACACTCACAAGGTGGAGTTAGCCTGATGGCAGCAGTGTTCCCGGGCTCGCTGTGACCTCTCCTCCTTGGGAACCCCCGTGTGGCTGTGCAGGTGACAGCTCCACAGACCACCAGCCCTCACCGCCTGACCTCACAACCTCCCCTCTGGGCCTCGGTGTTCCCTGTTGTGTTTTCCTGCCTCCACGCCTTTGCGCACGCTGGTCCCTCCTCCGGGGTGCCGTTGCCCCTCCTCTGAGTTCTGCATCTGTGGACTCCTCACAATCCATCTCAGGTGGCGCTTCCTACCAGAAAATTTCCTTGCTCCCCAACCCGTCAGCCGGACGTGGTCTCTCCCAGCTGTGGCGTTTTATGGTAGTTCACCTTTCTACCATGAAGTGGAGTCATTTCTCCCCTAGATAATAACCTCCTTGAAGGGTCTGTCAGATTCCTCTTTCCAGGGGTTTGTGGGTCAACACAGTGAACGTCCACCTCATTAATGGATAGTGGCTCAGAGCCATGGTGTTGCAGACTCAGAAAGTTGTCGTTCAAATCCTAACTCTTCCACGATTGTGCTGTGTGATCTTGGGCAAGTCACTCAGCCTCTCTGAGCCCCACTCAGCCAGTATTTATGAAGCACTTACTATGTGTCAGGCACTGTGTTAGGCTTAAGAAAGGAATTGAGCACTCAGTCGGGTGGTTGAGACACGTGAACACACAGGAAAGAACGTGTGGTACAAGCTGTGATAAGTTCCATCAGGGAAAGAACAACTTATGAAAAAGCAAGCAAAGGACACTTTTCAAGACAGTTAGAGAAAACTGGATATGGCCTGAGTGCAGATGATATTAAAGAATTATTGCTGGGGGTGATAAAATATTGAGGTTATATTTTAAAGGCCCTTATGTGTTAGGGATTCGTGATCCAGTATTTACACGTAAAATAATACGAGTTCTTGGATTGGCTTTAAAATACACAAGTAAAAAATTGGGGACTGTAAAGGTGGCATTTCTAAAGCTGCTGATGGGTAGACAGGTTTATCGTGCTGTCCTCTCTCTCTGTCATAATTGCTGTAATAAAAAGTTTCAGAAGAAAGAGCGGAGAATGATGAAAGAGGGCCCACTTTCCATCCGGCAGTCAGAGAGAACCTCTTGATTTGGGGCTGAGACCTGAAAGCCGGGTAGGAGGGAGCCCAGGGGAGGAGGTGGGGAAATGCATCCCTGTGCAAAGGCCCTGAGGCAGGGAGGAACAGAGCATGCTTGGGAAGCTGCAAGGAGGGTAGGAGGGTCGAAAGGTAGAAGATGCCACACTGTCCATGTCCCGTCTCCCTCCACCCCTCCTCAGGCCCCGAGTGCAGGCCAGGGGGACCTCCGGGGGCAGGAGGGGCATCCAGCCCAGGCTCGGGCCCCAGAACTCACTGCAGAAGGCTGCACAGGTGCGTGGACTCTGATTGCTGCAGATGGTTTTGCAGGAGACACAGGTGTTCAGCAGCGGGTCCCAGTACTGCTCTTCGGGGCAGGGCTCCATGGCCACCCCCAGCCGCAGGCCCTGTGGGGCTGAGAGGCAGGGAACGTGAGGGCAGCTGGCACCACTGGAGGCCGGAGCCCAGGCAGCCTGTCCCGCTCACGTTCCCTAGGGGGAACAGACAGAGTTGGATTCTGCCCCAGTTGTACTTGCTGGGCAACCCGGGGCTGACACCCTGAGCCTCAGTTTCCCGTCTGGGGCAGGGCAGTTCTGAGGCCCCTCTGGCATCAGTGGAGCCCTGCTCGGCCCTGTTCTCTGCCCTCATGAACGTGCACACGCCTCCTGCTATGGGGTCTTTGCACGTGCTGGTCCCTTGGCACCCCATGCTCTTCCTGCTTCACGACTGGTCATTTCCTCCTGACCCCTCAGATCTCTGTTGCAACTTCGTTTCTTCAGGGAAGCCTTTCTGACACCCTCCCACCCCGGATTGGGACTTGCCCCTTCTTCTGCACTCCGATGTGCTCTTGTCACTGTTGTCACTTGACTTTTGTGTTGCAGTTATTTGATACTGTCCCCCCGTTAACTGGGAGCATCATGCAGGCATAGATGCTAATTGTTTTGTTTGCTGCTGGGTCCTCAGAACCTAGATAGTGCCCAGGATATAGTAGGTGCTCATTAAATGAATGAATTAGAAAAGCAGACCTAGCCAGTGCCTAGCAAACAGCAAGCACTCAATAAATGTCCGTTTCCTTCCCTTGCTCTTTTGCTGAGATGTGAGACACACACAATGACAGATCTCAAGAGTACAGCTTGACAGATCTTTGCACGTGTACACGCCTGTGTCACGACCACCACGTCAAGGTGGTGAACATTTCTTGCTCCCTGATGACTCCCATGGGCCCCTCCCACCCAACGTCCACCCCCAGAGGTGACTTCTGTCCTGGGTTTGAACGCCACAGGGCCATAGGCTGCTGCTACTGCCCGTTCCTGAACTTCCATTGTCTGGATTCTTTGGCTCTGCAAAGGCACCTGGGACTCATTCCAGATGCTTGTGTGTTGCTGAGTCTTCTGTAATTTTCTGCCTAATTTCATGGCATTTTCCTCCCCAACAACTTCTTTTAAACATTTTTTGAGGCACTTGTTTATTCTTTAATGGGAGTCCACTGAGGAAAGACCAGCGGCTCCCCCTCAACCCGGCAGCTTAACCACCTGGGTTTATCCTCCTTCCCTCTTGGAATCAAACTGAAAGGGCAGGAAAGGATAGTTGTCCTCGAAGATGGAATGGAAGAAGTGACTGCAGCAGGGGACAGGCGTCAGCAACGTTTTGGAAGACGGAAGGCAGAGGGCCTGGGGTGACAGGCTTCAGCTGAAGATCTCTCTCGGTTGAAGCTCACGGGGAGGAAGCGGAATTGAGTCACTGAATGCTGGGAGCCTCCTGGAACTGGGGCACTAGGACCTCTGGCCGTGGGGGATGGGAGGGCAGAGCAGTGAAACAGGGTTGGATGGAGACTTACGCAAAGAGGGCTTGACCCCAGGCAGGCGACGGCCCCTCACCCACCCGAGCAGGAGGTTGGGGTCTCCTCAGACACAACGGAGGAGGGGTGGCAGTGAGGTCCACTATCCCCCCAGCCATACCTCAGGAGTGCTGTGGCCAGGTTTGTAAAAGATGTCTCCTTCCCCATCCTACAACCGGCAGGAAACCAGCAGACTCTGCTCTGGAAAAACTGACCCAAAGGAAAAGCCCTGGAGGCACTGACTGGGAGATTCTTTCAAGAAAATGACCATGCTGCTGCCTGACCACTAGAGCAAAGCTTCTATGTGAACAGCCCGTCCATTTACCCAGAACTTCCAATCAGCCATTAGTGCCTCAATGTGAATTGTGAACCGCAGCCAAGGGTCACCTGATATTGGAGCACCACCTCTGCATGAAGGAGACCTTGGACGATGCGAGCAGAAGAAATCCACCCAGTGCCAATAGAGACAATGCAGGGAACAGAAGAAAACTACACGATGACAACAAGACATCCTTAGAAAGAGAAGAGAACTTTTATATGCACGAGAAAGAATGGTGTGCTAATTTTTTTTTTTTTCCGGCTTGTGGGATCTTAGTTCCCCAACCAGGGATCAAACCCGGGCCCTCAGCAGTGAAAGTGTGGAGTCCCAGTCACTGGACCGCCAGGGAATTCTCAGTGATGTGCTACTTTTTTTATTTTAATTTTTGGCGGTACGCAGGCCTCTCACTGCTGTGGCCTCTCCCGTTGCAGAGCACAGGCTCCGGACGCGCAGGCTCAGCGGCCATGGCTCACGGGCCCAGCCGCTCCGCGGCATGTGGGATCTTCCCGGACCGGGGCACGAACCCGTGTCCCCTGCATTGGCAGGCGGACTCTCAAGCACTGCGCCACCAGGGAAGCCCAGTGATGTGCTACCTTTAAAGAATTGTATGCATAGAACAAACAAGAATGACTAGAAATTTTAAAATATAATAGCCAGAATAAAAACACCTGTCGAAGGGTTTTAAGATGTAATTGAAGAAATATCCCAGGAAATCGGAAAAGGTGTGAAAAATATGGAATTATATCAGGACGTCCAGAGGTTGACTGATGGGAGTTCCAGAGAAAACAGATTTGAAAGACAGCCTCCAGATTCAAAGAGCCAATCAGGTGTCCTGCACAATAAATTCTCTCAAACCAAGACCCACCATCGTGAAATTCAGAAGCAACAGAGACTTGGAGGAGATTCTAAAGGCTCCCTGAGAACAAGCAGGTCACCTACAGGGAGGGCTCTGTGAGTTAGGAACTCTGTGGACGTTTCAAATCAAAGCGGGGGCGTGAGAGCGATGCCAGGGAAGATGGCCAGGAGGAAGCCCCAGCGACCTGCTTCTCCCCTAGCGGCCATCAAGCTGGCAGCCTTGGCTGAAGTAACGATATGGGAGCTCTGGGGTTGTCTATGGGACAGTTGGGCAAAGAGGCTGGTAGATTTGGGGAGTTTGGGTGCCTTTCAGCCTATCGTGGGGTGGTGGCTGTTCATGTCCCTGGGGCAACTTGCTGGGACCTGGATGGGCAGTAAGGACCTTGTCCTCTGAACGTTGGGATTGTGGGTTCTAATCGCTGGTTGCCGCTTTTGATCACTGAGGAGCCAGCACAGAGGGTGGTGGGCATTGTTTCAGCCTCCCTGGTTGAAGTGGCCCCCAGGGGATTGAAAGAGATCTACTGCCCCCCCCCCCCCCCTTGGGGAGTCACACATTTAGGAAAATCTTTGTCAGGTAGCTGGCTGACTGCAGAGACGAAGGAACAGAAACTTGGGTGACCACACACAAGGAATACATACTTTGCAAAAATAGTTTGGAAGAGTCACAAACAGACTCCAGCTCTCAGCAACAAAAACTTCAGCAATCCCTGAGGTGTGAGAGAGTTAAATTTCCAGACTGACCACAATGTAATGCTCAAAATGTTCAGTTCTCAAAAAACTTACAAAACATACAGAGAAACAGGAAAATACAGCACATTCACAGAAGAAAAAACTTTGACAGAAACCATCCCTGAGGAAGCCTAGACATTAGTCGAAGATGTTAAATCAACTGTCTTAAATACGTTCCATGAGCTACAGGAAACCAGACAGAGAACTAAAGGAGATCAGGAAAATGATGTAAGAACAAAAAGAGGATATGAATAAAGAGATAGAGGTTGTAAAAAAGGAACCCTAACTTGGAAGCAACCCAAATGCCCTTTAGTAGGTGAACTGATAAATAAACTCTGGCATCCAGACAGTGGAATTTATTCAGCACTAAAAAGAAATGAGCTCTCAAACCATGAAAAGACATGGAGGGATCTTAAATGCACGTGACTGAGAAAAGCCACGCTAAAAAGGCTCCACGCTGTATGATCCCAGCTCTGTGACATTCTGGAAACAGAAGAAAGATCAGTGGTTGTCAGGGGTTGAGGGGGAGGGAGAGATAAAGGTGGAGCACGGGATTATGCAGAGCAGTGAAACTGTTCTGTATGACACTGTCATGGTAGATGCAAGTCATTATACTTTTGTCAAATCCCATGGAAAGTACAACACCGAGAGTGAACCCCAGTGTAAACTGTGGAGTTTGGACAATAACGATGTATTAATGTAGTTACTCAATTGTAGTGGATGTGCCACTTTAGTGCAGGATATGGATAGTGAGGGAGGCTGTGCATGTTTGGGGACAGGGGGTATATGGGAATTCTCTGTAATTTCCATTCCATTTTTCTGTGAACCTCAAACCACTCTAAATAATCTATTAAAAAATGGAAACAAACTGAAATTCTGGAATTGAGAAGTCCAGTAACTGAAATGAAAAGACTCCCTAGAGGGCTTCAGTAGCAGATCTGAGCAGCCAGAAGGAAAGGATCAGTGAACCTGGAAATAAGACTATTGAAATTATTTAGAATAGGAATCAGAAATTAAAAAGAATGAGAAAAAATAAACAGAACCTGAGGGACTCGTGGGAGCCCATCAAATGTAACACCCTATGCACATAGGAATTTCAAAGAGAAGAGAGAGAGAAAATATTTAAAGAAATAATGGCTGGAGACTTCCCAAATCTTAGGAAAGACATGAATATACATGTTTGAGAATGTCAGTGAATAAGCAGGATTAACTCAAAGACGCCCACGTTGAGACACATTGTAATAAAATTGTGGAAACCCAAAGACGAGAGAATTGTGAAAGCAGCAACAAAGAAACAATTGTCATATACAGGGGATCCTCAATAAAATTAATAGCTGGTTTCTCCTTAGAAGTCATGGAGGCTAGAAGTGAGCTGTTACATTTAAAGTCCAAAAAGGGGGAAAAAAAAAACAAAACTGTCAACCAAGAATTGCATATCTGGCAAAACTGTCTTTCAGGAATGCAGGAGAAGTTAAGACATTTCCAGATAAGCAAAAGCTGAGAGAGTTTGTTACTAGTAGACCTGTCCTACAAGCAATGCTAAAGGGAGTTGTCCTTCATGCTGAAATGAAAGTGCACTAGACAGTAACTTGAAGTCATAAGAAAAAAGAAGCAGCATTGGTAAAGGAAATCTGTGACAATATCAATATCAACAGGAAGGGACAGAGATATAGAACAGTGTTTGTACACTACTGAAACTAAGTATTATTGAAACTAAGTTGTTAGAGGTTTAAGACATTAGTTGTAATCCTCAGGGTAATCACTTAAAAAAATAACTAAAAACATACAGAAACCAAAAGAAAAAGGGAATAAAAATGGCACACTACAAGTGATCAACTAAATACAAAAGAAAAGTCAGTAGTGGAGGAACTGAGGAACAGAAAATGTAAGACATACAGAAAACACATAGATAAATGGCAGAAGTAACTCCTTTATCAGTAGTCATATTAACGTCAATGGACTAAACTC